AACCCGTTTTCGTGTCTGGTTGACCCTAACCCAGATTTTTGCAGATCAGCTTAACTACTTTTGCTTTTTAATTTTAATAATAAATATTAAGTAATTAAGATAATAATATTTTTTAATTATTTTTTCTAAATATAATTTATTATTTAATTAACTTAATAAATCAAAAAATTTTTATTAATTTAGATAATTAATTAGGAAAAATATTATTAAATTAGTCTAAGTAAGACTGAAATAAGCAACGAAAAATCATATAAATTCTTAAATCTTGAAACAAGTAGCTAAATAGTTTACCAAGACGTAATTTAATTTAACTATCTATCATGCCAAACAAGTTTCAAGATTTAACCCATAGAGGATTTAGTAAATCAAAATTTACAAGAGATTTACTAAATCTTATTTGAGCTAAATCCTACTTGTTGCCAAATAACTCATAAATCTTATACTAATTTGATTCCTCGTCTTGTTTTTTGATACTCAATGTAATTACATGGGGGACCTCACATCTCTGTTTCTTTCTTTCTAGGTTATTTTTTTGTTGTACTCTTCCCACTTTTATTTGCTTCTTGACTTAGGAAGATATGAGCCTCACATAACTATCATGTGTGTGTGAGTGAGAGAGAGAGAGTTTTTAACAAAATGCTCTCTTAATGTGGAGAAATTATTTCGTGCGGTCATCAGATGGTCCGGAGGTCAATCAGGACGCGCCACGTCATTCGATACATAGCAGTACACATTAATGATACAGATTGTATTGGTGTCGTGGAGCATCTTGATTGGCCACTAGACAGCATTCGACGACCGCACGTAATTATTTCGCTGTAATATGACTGTTACAATTGATGCCTACTCTAGCAAGCTATCATCACAAGTTCCCTACTAGTCTAGTCAATAAGTACCCCATCACAACACACATACATGTGAGCTCAGGCCTTTCGTTATTTTGCCGAGTTGAACTTGTGTTAGTCATGTCTTAACTCTACTTAACTTATGCACATCCAAGTCTTATAAATGGCCATACCCAAAGTTTTCGAAATTTTTTGGATTACAATGGACTCAATTAAGCCATCATTTCTCTCTATTTAAATATTACAACATGGTATTGGATTGGATTTAATTTAGTGGGATTTATTAAATCTGGTTTTAGTAAATCCCGAGGTTATTAAATTATGAAAACTGTTTGGTATGACAAATTTTAAATCTTATTAAATCTTGAGAATCCGTTTGACAACAAATTCCGGGATTTTAAACAGTTAGAGATTTAAATATGAAGGAATAATACTCAATTACATCAATATGTTGGTTATAAATTTAGACATCGATAGGCTATTACATGATAGTACACTTCGACATGATAGAGGAGCTGATTTATCTTGCATTGGAGAGTAACTTTCTCATAACGATCGATTTCTTCGACAACTTATCTGAAATCCAAAAAACATGAAATTACTACAAAATGTATTTAAACTATTTACTAGTATTTAGTAATGTAATTCAGGACTTTAGGTGATTGGTTCATTTAAAAATTAAATTAAATGTGATATGAATTTAATTCATGAGTTAAATACAAATTGCTAATTAATTTCAATCTTAATTACCCTCAATAAGTAATAATTATAAATAATATAATTAGAAGCTTGTTTGATTATCAAATAATTTAATTAATTATACTAATTATAATACTATTTATCAAACAATGTACTTAAGTAATTCATTAATCACTTAAATATTCTACAACGAACTAATAATTTAAATATTATTTACAATGTTAATTAAATAATTAATTATTTCAATTTCTAAACCCTAAGCTAATTATAATCATTTTAATGACAAATTATACAACTAATTATTTATTTAAGTTTAATTAGATTACTTAATTAAACTACCAATTAGTAGTAATTATTAATATTGTAGAGGTCTTTAAGGATTTGCTAATTATACTATAATTATGTTAAATTAGATTAATTACTAATTTAGATGGAGGATCTCTAGGGTTTGCTTTATTAATCTTTTCCATTTCTCCATTGCTGTTACTTTTCCTCATCGCCAGTTATTCGTTGCTACTTCGGCCTCGCTTGCTTAGCGTGAAATAGTGTTGAAAGAATTGCTATAGAAGCTTTGTCGCCTCCTGCTCCAGCGTTGGATCGAAAGACACGACGGGAGATCGCTCACTGCGAATGTAACCATATTTCTCCACAACAAGGACGCCGCACGAGTCATAAATCCCTCAAATCCACTGAAGAATGGGATTTGGATTTACCCGAATTTACAGGGATTTATGCCATAAATTCGTAAATCCAGGATTTACGTCATCACTGGATTTATAGGCACGCAGAAAACCGTTTGGTTGGATTTAGGTTAAATCCTGCTATAATCTTATGCCAAATCCGATATCAAACAGCCCCTTCGACTTAAGTTTCATTTGGGACGTCTTTATTATTATTTATTAAAGTAAATTTTTAATTTTTATATAAAAAATTAATTAAAAATAATAATAATAAAGCCGTCCAAATGGAACCTTAAAAATCTTGTGTAATTTCCATTCCGTATCTTTGAAAGAGACACTATTGCTACAACTAACTTACGTGTGGAATAGACATTCATAAGCGTCCCGCAGAAATCCAAAGGAGTAGTTTGGTGGTAATGGTACTCTTATGACGCAGCCTTAAACAACCAAATAAGCTCTATAATAATGCACTCACCTTCCGTATACAATACAAGTAAGGTATACCAATCAACCAAAAGGAGATAAAAAACTATTTTTTTTAGAAAAAATATAGGAGCGAGCCCAAATTTCATTCAATATAAAAGAGATTACAACGAAGGCCTATAAAAACAAAAACCAAAATACAATGCTAGAGAAAAAAACCTCTAAAAGTAGCTAAAATAAGGCATTACGAGGAGAGATTATTGGGTTCGGACACCGGACACAGCTTACCGTTCGGTATTTCATAGTACCTAATAATACTGAACTCAGTGCTGTGAAGTATTGAGTTTGGTACTTCACAGTAACAAGCAAAACTGAGCTCGGTACTTCATAGTACCGAGCTCAGTACTTTGAAGTATCAAGCTCATTCTAATTCAACTGGACCTGATCCGTCGGGTTTCCGAGTTGACCCAACCAGACATGAAATGGGCTATGGACGAAGAAGCATACGAATGGGAGGAAGGTGACTCATCTCGTGACTCTCGTTGTAGTTGCAGGACTGGACATTAAACAACGTCGTTGTCTCATCGAAGCCGGAGAAGAGAAGCAAAACTAATTGTGAACCCGAAGAAGAGGAAGGAGTGTCGTCTACGTGCAGACTACTGAGTGCGGAGCTAGCGGCCTAGGGTTTAGCCAAGGAATGTTGTTGGCCGGACTTGGGGCCGCGAGACAACGATCGACGGAGCCACATGATGACGGGAGAGGCGGACGGTGAGGCCTTCATGCCGTATTGACTCGCGAGTTGTGAGTGCTGCCAAGAATCGAATCGTGATTTCCGATTTGGTGTACAACTGAATTTTTTGGGTCAGTTCATATTATTTTCGGGTTTCTTGGTCAAACTGATCTGATTTTTGAAATATGTTGGTTTGTTGAACCTGAACTCGAAATATTCAGATCAGATTCAGATTGAATTTTTGGATCGTGTCAAATATTGACACCCTAAACACACTCATAAATTTTTTTTTTTTTTTAAAGCTTTCATCACATCATGAAATATGAATGGCTCTTCTTTTCATAGAAGGAAGCAAGATGGTCTTTTGAAAGGAATGGCCTCTTATTTGCTACAAAATGATTATGTTTTTTACAAAGGGAAGGCGTGGAGGGCCTCTCAGTGCCACGCGGTAACCAGCTCGCTGTTGTCACATTTGCCATCTATTATCAAGAATGATTGCTCTCTGTCTCACTATTGTAATATTCATTATCTATTATTCAAACTTATCAAATCATCAATAAATGATCCGACCTATCAATCAAAAAATAGTATTTGATCCTATATTTGTTAAAGTTTAGATGCTACAGGAGAAGCTACATTTGTCACTGCCTACCATTGAAGGCTGGATGACTTTGAAGATTTTCCTTTGAGACAACTTTAATACTGTTTTCTAAAGCAGCTTGTTAGTACACAATTTTTAGTTCAAAAATTTCTTGTACTAAAAAATTGTTTTAGAAAACAGTAAGAAATCTATCTTAACTGAAACCTAAATCACAATTTATTTCTATCATATTTGCAACAGAAGTATGCGAGAACATAATCTAGGTGGCCTCAAGCATCACCTTGTGTACATCGCAACTTGCCCATAGTAAAGTTCATCAAGTAATATGCAACCAACCTTAATCTGTTGGTTGAGAGTTTAAGCTACCAACCAAGATATCTTGAATTCAAAGCTTGCATGTTAATAGGTTTGTGAGTTTAAATTTAATTCAGTCAGAAGTCCCAAAAAAAAATCCTCAAGTACTTGCAAATGGGTTTTTTTTTTGGATGAGGACATCTACTAGTTGCCACTCCAAAGGAAGCGCTTGATGGCGTAACTAATCCGTCGACGAAACTTAGCGAGGCCACCCACCGGCATCGCCCACACTTACTTTGCCCTATTAAAGAGGCAAGGCCGTAGTGGAGGGGATTCGAACTTGAGATTGGAGGTTCCCAACCGTGCTTGCCCACCAATCACCCTAAGTCTCGGTGGGTCAAATGGGTAATTTTTGCAATGGTTTCATAAATAGGAAAATTTTCAGCTGAACAAAGGCCACATAATTTTTCCCCATTAAAAGCTTTTCACTTCTATAAAAAAAAAAGAAGGTTTTCTCTAACCTTTTGTGGATTTCTGGACTGAGAAATCGTAGAGCCTTCGTGCCTAAGGACCAGGAAAATTTCTTCAGGTTTGAATCATCCCTTGCCTTATTTTTCTAATGGCCTCCAGAACAGAACTGCAGCCTAAGACTTACTAAGCATTATAGCAAGTTAGCTTCAAAAAAGCCTATGAAACAGGAAAAACAACAGGAAAACCAATAGAATTTATTTAACAGCATCTTCCCGAAAAACTACTGAAGCTTACCGCTCACTGTAAAACTTGTGGCGGAATTTTCAAACATACATCATACAGATACAAAGATTCACCAGACTAGAGAATTTTTCACAACCATTATTGGTATTTACAGAATACCTGGCACATAGATCATCAAAGAAGATGATTAGAAATATGTAATTGTTGTAGACGAGGGTACACGTCAACTCTTAAGCTTCGTTCAGCACAACTTTTTTATTGTTTTCTAAAACAACTTTTTTCTTGAACTAAAATTTTTTTGTATTAGGAAGCTGCTTTAGAAAGCAGTCAAAAAAGGCGTCCCAAAAGAATCTTAAGAAGGATCACAACTCTAGCCCGACCAAGGTCGCCGCATCCCTCCACTAGCAATTGCATTCAGCCTATCAAGCAAGGTGTTGAGATCAAGGGGCTGACCACTTTCTCCCATGCCCTGAACCACACCAACCACCTGATCTCTCGGGTAACCCATGTTAATAGCTTTCTCGATCATTTCTCCATAGGGGTGGTGATTATTCAGCATTTGCGGAGCAGCTACATTGTTATTTGGTTGATGGCGAAGATGAGAAGCTCTGCTTCCATCAATGACATAAAAAGCATTATAACCAGGCATGTTTGATTGTGAAGGGTAGGTGTTTGTTCCAATATAGCCAGTCTTAACTAGTTGTGGTGGTCCAAATGAAACTTGGCTAGCCTGAGGAAGGGGCTGTCTCTGCATGTTGAGATGAGAAGGAAGATGAGGAACTGCGATGTATGGGGATGGGGGTGCAATGCTGCTGCCTTGGTATGCTTCAGCTTGAACTGTGTTGGCAGGTTGATTGGAAGAATAACGTGCGTAGGTAGATGGATTTTGGGGCCTGGGAGCTTGAGATTGTGAAGAATGTTCTTGAGGTTGCATTGGCTGAGACCATTGCGGGTGGTATTGAGAAAAAGGAGGCTGTTGGGGGAGCAGGTTCGGTGCCACATTCGCTTGCGGATTCGCCGGTGCTTGGTTCGAAAGATCTTGCATTTGGGTTCTCTGTTGAGCATATTGCAGGTTCTGGCTCTGCTGTTCCAGTGGCAGAGGTTGGAGGGAGGTATAATATGAGATTGCTTGATTTAGAATGTAACGATCTTGTGGAGGCGCAGTAAGAGATGGAGGTGCAGGTTGCTGTATTGGGAGCTCTTTGTATTGCTGGTTTTGATCAGGAACAGGGGCTGTTTGGTGTGGAAGAGCAAGAGCCAGTTGCAGGTTTGAAGGATCCTTGTCATCTTTATGCGCTTTAGTTTCAGTAGCAGCTGCAGAGATACCGTCAGTGCTTTCCGGGGAGTGACTTGAATTAGTTGGTTCTTTTTGTGAAAGCTGGAGTTTGGCCAGCTCCTTCTGGGTCTCAGAAAGTTCTTCTTTGTCTCTGATTATCTGAACAGATCTATGGACCTTATGCACAGAACAAGAACATATTAATAATCAGAAATTATGATATACTTATTTTGAATATCGGACGCCGATATTCAAAAGCGTACGGCAGAAATCCAAAGGAGTAGTTTGGTGGGTAATGGTACTCGCATGACCAAGCCTTAAACAACCAAATAAGCACTATAATAATGCACTCACCTTCCGTATACAATACAAATAAGGTATCACCAATCAACCAAAAGGAAATAAATAAATAAAAAAACTCATGTCAAAGATATGTGGCATAAATTTTATCAGCATGAACTTAATAATGGTTCGAATTATTTCGAGATTACAACAACAACATCAAGTTTAACTTCCCACTGTATAACGTTAGTTACATGAATCATTTTTCTCTATTGTATCCTATTAAGAGACAAATTGTCATTTAAGGCTTCATTTAGGACAACTTTCTTATTGCTTTCAAAAAACAAATTTTTAGTACAAAAATTATTTGAATTGAAAATTTTTGTACTGAAAAGTTACTTTACAAAGCATTAAGGCTTCGTTTGGGATAGCTTTCTTAATAATGCTTCATAAAGCAGCTTTCTAGTATAAAAATTAAAATTTTTATAATAAAAAGCTAATTTATGAAGCAGAAAAAAATTGTCGCAAAAGAAGCCTAAGAAAACTGTCTCAAACGAAAACTTAATCTAATAAAGAAATATCATTTCTAATAATTGTTAACATTTGACTTCGTTTGGGACAGTCTTATTCTTGTTTTATAAAGCAGTTTTTTAGTATACAAGTTTTTTATTCAAATTTTTTTTTTGAACTAGAAACTCATTTTAGAAAACAATAAGGAAGCTGCCTCAAATGAAACCAAACTTTACCTCTTTCTTTCCTAACATAAGCCTACTTCTTTCTTTCTTAACATAAGCCAGATCTAATACATCTACTCTGCCAACCGGATCATCAAAAGGCCGACATTTTCTGTGACCGAACCATCTAAGACGACTCTCTCTAATCTTTTTTCAAGATTAGCATGATATAAATTTTTTAGATAATATTAATCTCAAACTAAATTTAGTTTTTTTAATATCTATATTGATATAATTTATATCGAGATATATGCATATATTTTAAAGATTTCTAACTAAAAGGACTCAAATCTATATTAAAAAAAAAAGTATTCAATATCATCGCTTAATTAGAAGATCTAGTCAAATGGGTTCAACTACCCCTGTTCTAATTTTTGAACAATTCAACCGTTAATTTTTGCTCTTCGATCTCTAAAAACTCTCTTCTTATTCTTTTATTTAATCGGATTCACAATCCAACTAATTCAACTGGCCATTTCAATCCAATCTAGAGTCAAAATATCTTCACCTTTTGCAATTAGAAAATGTATTTTAAGATAAATAACATAAATACTTGTATTAATTACAAAATTTATCTAGAATCAGACATATTATGCAGAAGTCCTAAAAGAAATGGAACCTTCAAATTCATCCAAAGGCTTTGGATTAGGAAAAGTTATTACGTCCGGACAAAAAATCGGAAATCCGGACGTATACCGAGCAATACCGAGTGCTCGGTACCGAGCTCCAAGTGACGTGGCGCGTTGTTATTGGTCTCACGACGCGTTCGGTGTCCGGACACAATAATTACTCTTAGATTAGTGATGTCAAAATCGGATTTCAGGTCAGGTTCAGATTTAAGTCGGATTTGACCCGATGCTATTTGACATGACTTGAACCCGACCTATTTTTTTTGCAAACGGATCATAAAATTCAATATAGACCCGACCCGTTGGGTTTCCGGGTTGACCCTAACTGACTCGAAATGGCCTATGGCCGAAGAAGCGCACGAATGGGCGGAAGGCGACTCGTCTCGTGACTCTCATCAAAGTAGCAAGCTGGACAGACAGGAACGTCGTCGTCACGTTGAAGCCAAATAAGAGGAGAAGCAAAACTTATTGCGAAGCCGGAGAAGAGGAAGGAACGTCGTCGACGTGCAGATTGCAGAGTGTGGAGCTAGTAGCATGGGGTTTAGCCGAGGAAGGAATGTCGTCAGCCGGATGGCGGGGCCACGAGATGGCGATTGATGGGGCCACGGGACGATAGGCAGATGGCAAGGCCTTCAGGCCGGGTTGACTCATGAGTTGCGAGTGCAGGATGGAATCGAATCAGGATTTTCGATTTCGTGTATAGCCGGAATTTTTGGGTCGATCCAGGTTATTTCAGGTTTTCGGGTCAAACCGAATCCTATATAATTTTTTAAACATATCGATTTGTTGAACCCAAACCCAATCAGTTTGACAAATGAGTTGACCCTAACCCGAAATATTCTGGTCGGATTCGATTCAAATTTTTGGGTCGTGTTAAATATTGACACCCGTAAAAACACTCATAAATAAATAAAAGCTTCATCATGAGATATGAATGGCTCTTCTTTTCATAGAAGGAAGCAATATGGTCTTTTGAAAGGAATGACCTCTTATTTGCTACAAAATATTATGTTTTTGACAAAATGAATGTGTGGAGGGCCACTTAGTGGCACGCGGTAACCAGCTTGGTGTTCTCACATTTGCTAGCTATTATACAAAATGATTGCTCTCATAGTCTCACTACTGTAATGTTCATTATCTGGTATTCAAATTTATCAAATCATCAATAAATGATCCGGCCTATCAATCCGATTAAAACAAAATCTGAAAAAATTGCATTTGAATTGACCCACTTATTAAATGAGTTGAATATGAATCTATAATTCTGCCCGTTTATTAAACAAGTTGGGTTTGTATTGACCTGCCAATCCAAAAGTGACTCATCTATTTTCTTTTACTTGCTTATTTATATTTTTTTAACAAATTAACCTAAAATCTATGATTAATAAATTATAATTTATTTTTAAATCGAAATTGGCTATCAGATCAAATTCAGGTCATTCGAATTGCCAACAAGTTTAGCTCGGATTCAGCATTTTGTCCAATTTATTAAACGGGTTGGACTTGAGTTGATCGAATTCAAATTGGATCAACTTCAAGTCGGACCGAAAACCAACCCATTAACCCTTTTGACACCCCACCTTCAACACTCAATTATTTCACAAATCATGACATAAAATACTCCCCCTCCCTCCAAGAAAGGACTATCATATAAAAATGGTGAAACAACATGTTTGTTTCTGACAAATTTGTTCAAGAGGTGGCAAATATATATACATATATGCACAAAAAATAGTATTTGATCCTATATTTGTGAAAGTTCAGATGCTACAGGAGAAGCTACATGTGTCACTACCTAACATTGATAGCCGGATGACTTTCAAGATCTCTACCGTTTCATTTGGAACATCATTTTTACTGTTTTCTAAAGCAGCTTGTTAGTACAAAATTTTTAATTCAAAAAATTCTTGCACCCTAAAAAACTATCTTTAAAAACAATAAAAAAACTATATTAATAAATAAAAATAAAAAACTATGTCAAATGAAACCGGAGGCTTCATTTAGGATATAATTTTTTTGTTGTTTCTTAAAGTAATTTTTTAATATAAAAATTTTACAAAAATTAAAATTTTTATATTAAAAAATTATTTTAAGAAACAACAAAAAAAGTCTTCCTAAACGAAGCCTAAATCACCATTTGTTTCTACTATATTTGCAACAGAAGAATCTACTATATCTACAAATGAAACCTAAATCACCAGAACAGAACTGCAGCCTAAGACTCACTAAGCATTACAGCAAGTCAGCTTCAAAAGCCTATGAAACAGAAAAAACAACAGGAAAACTTATTTAACAGCATCTTCCCGAAAAACTACTGAAGCTTACCGCTCACTGTAAAACTTGTGGCGGAATTTTCAAACATACATCATACAGATACAAAGATTCACAGGACTAGAGAATTTTTCACAACCATTATTGGTATTTACAGAATACCTGGCACATAGATCATCAAAGAAGACGATTAGAAATATGTAATTGTTGTAGAGGGTACAAGTCAACTCTTAAGCTTCGTTCGGCACAACTATTTTATTGCTATCTAAAGCAACTTTTTAGTACGAAAATTTCTTGAACTAAAAAATTTTTGTATTAGGAAGTGCTTTAGAAAGCAGTAAAAAAAGCATCCCAAACGAATCTTAAGAAGGATCGCGACTCTAGCCCGACCAAGGTCGCCGCATCCCTCCGCTAGCAATTGCATTCAGCCTATCAAGCAAGGTGTTGAGATCAAGGGGCTGACCACTTTCTCCCATGCCCTGAACCACACCAACCACCTGATCCCTCGGGTAACCCATGTTAATAGCTTTCTCAATCATTTCTCCATAGGGGTGGTGATTATTCAGCATTTGCGGAGCAGCTACATTGTTATTTGGTAGATGGCGAGGATGAGGAGCTCTGCTTCCATCAATGACATAAAAAGCATTATAGCCAGGCATGTTTGATTGTTGTGAAGGGTAGGTGTTTGTTCCAATATAGCCAGTCTTAACTAGCTGTGGTGGTCCAAATGAAACTTGGCTAGCCTGAGGAAGGGGCTGTCTCTGCATGTTGAGATGAGAAGGAAGATGAGGAATTGCGATGTATGGGGATGGGGGTGCAATGCTGCTGCCTTGGTATGCTTCAGCTTGAACTGTGTTGGCAGGTTGATTGGAAGAATAACGTGCGTAGTTGGATGGATTTTGGGGTCTGGGAGCTTGAGATTGTGAAGAAGGTTCTTGAGGTTGCAATGGCTGAGGCCATTGCGGGTGGTACTGAGGAAAAGGATGCTGTTGGGGGAGCAGGTTTGGTGCCACATTCGCTTGCGGATTCGCCGGTGTTTGGTTCGAAAGATCTTGCATTTGGGTTCTCTGTTGAGCATATTGCAGGTTCTGGCTCTGCTGTTCCAGTGGCAGAGGTTGGAGGGAGGTATAATATGAGTTTGCTTGATTTAGAATGTAACGATCTTGTGGAGGCGCAGTAAGAGATGCAGGTGCAGGTTGCTGTATTGGGAGCTCTTTGTATTGCTGGTTTTGATCAGGAATAGGGGTTGTTTGGCGTGGAAGAGCAAGAGCCAATTGCAGGTTTGAAGGATCCTTGTCATCATTATGCGCTTTAATTTCAGTAGCAGCTGAAGTGATACCGTCAGTGCTTTTTGGGGAGTGACTTGAATTAGTTGGTTCTTTTTGTGAAAGCTGGAGTTTGGCCAGCTCCTTCTGGGTCTCAGAAAGTTCTTGTTTGTCTCTGATTATCTGAATAGATCTATGGACCTTATGCACAGAATGAGAACATATTAATAATCAGAAATTATGACATACTAGTTTGATATATCACACTTATATTGGATTATATCCAAATTGTTTAAAAAACTACAGGAAGAGTTTACTTGTAAATCGCTGGCATGGAGCTTATGTGGTGAATGGGTGGGTTGGAGGTGGTGGGAAGGAAGAAAGTTATTGGGATGAATTTGATAAGAAACACTGTGGATCTCCAGTTTTTCCTATCAATCTACAGAAAATAGCGAGATTTCTCACAAAAATCTACACAAAACCACGAAAAAAGTAGATAATTTGTATTATTTGATGAAAAGGAAGCAGAAAATACCAAGATATAATTGATCCTCTATTCGAGAGAAGGATCGATCTCTCCCAATCTCTAGACGCCGCTAGAGCCCAAAGGAAACCTAAACCTAAGAGATCTCAAATTTCAATCAAATTCAAGATGCCCTAACCCTAGGAAAACAAACTATTTAATACATACAATTCAAAATGAAATCTCTAAACAACCCCTACATTCAAATTTCTGTCTGTTTCACGTGATCCAGTCCATACGAGACTGGCTTGACTGATCCAATGGACCAGGTATAACATAATTCACAGCTAAGCAAACAAAATTTTATTAAGAAACATAACAAATTCCGCTATGCAGCATTTGCTCAATATAACATGAGAAAGAAATATGGAATATTGTGTATCATAAGAGCAAAAATAAACAAAACAGATGCTATAAACATTACTAGGTTGATAAACAAAGCATCAAAACGAAAGAGCTGCAAGTTTTTTATCTAATAATGGGATGCTATCCAGATCCCCTATTTCATATTGACATATAATGCATGTCCACCAGGTATACATCGCACAACTGGCCTAATAGTGCAGTATCTTTTTTCTATTGTGGGGGCCGAAGAATGAAGGAGAATTTTTCTCTGATACAATATCCAAAAATTTGAGGGAGAAAGTGGAGAAAGAATTCTGAACTGCATGAATTATACTTGAGAACGTTTTCCCTGTAGTCGATACTAATTCTTGATATGGATATAGCTGTATGAGAACAAGGTGCAGGAAAGTCAGGTGCTATCTAGGGTGATGATGCAAATCTAGAACTATTTAATCATTGAAAAAGCAATTAACATGCATTGACTGTTAATTTTTGTTTCTTAATTCATTTCAAGTGTGAAAATATGCCTAACATGATGTGTTTGTTAGTATTTTGAATAATCTATTCGGCTATAGGGGTGTCTAAAAATAACCCGACCCAAAAACCCGGATTTGGGTTAACCTGTTTAATAAATAGGTCGGCTTCAGGTTGGGTTTTACCAACCCATTTATTAAATGGGTCGGGGTTTAGGTTGACCAGCGAACTTGTTTTTGACATGAAAATGCCCTATTTCATTTTTTTCTTTAATTTTTCTTACTTGTCTGCATAATCTTCTTTTTTTTTTAATCAAAGATGCTAAATTTTATAATTAATAAGTTATAAAAAATTAACCAAAACAGATTAACGGGTGGGGTTCCAGTTAGTGTTTTTTGACCTATTTATTAAATTGGTCGAGTTCGGATTGACTGGATTCGAGTCGGACCCAAACCCAACCCATCAACTCATTTTGACACCTCTATTCAACCAAACTCATAACGGCATGATTTCAATTTGCCCATCAAATTTCAATCAGCCCATGGAGTTCAGAAGCAATACTATAATCCAAATCGTAATATATTACCCACTACTAATCCTATTTCTCTACGAGCTATTGCTGCAACTTTCACTTTGACTGCCATCCTAGCTACAGTATGCCAATGTTTTCCCTGTGTGTTCCCACGATTGATGGTTTTCCTGCTGCTCCTGTGTTCCCACATAAGTCCCAACTGTTCGGACTTGTTGATTCCTAGTCACAATAATGCCACTTCTATGAATTTCCCATTAAGTTATAATTGTCGCCTTCCTCACCAGGTGCTTGTTCGCTTTTTCCCCTGCCTTATATTGCTGCCACTAACTATAGTTCCATCCTCTGCAGCAAATCATCCGCTCAGGTGCCTTCTCTGTTTCATTGGTTTGAAAGAACAAAAATTTTCCATTTCATTTGGATGCTCAAGCAGCAGCAGCAACAACAACAACATCATCAAGTCTTTGTCCCACTACGTGGGGTCGGCTAAAAAGGACGCATCACGAGGACTTCCCAGAAAGTCAACCATCATAGTACTAATCTAGCCCAAGCATGCTTAACTGCAGAGTTCTAATGTGATCAGGTGCACGGTTGCAGGTATGGTCGCACCCTAAAGGACAAAGTCAAATTTATAGGAGAATTTCTACAGACGAAATTAATGACGGACGTTGAAATATGTTATATTGAGTAGATCTTAGCAAGAATTAGGTGGGTTTTTATTTATGTAGAGTTCTTAGTAGTTATAAATAGGACACTGAGGCATATAAAATTTATTAGAGATTAAAAATTGAATAAAATCCCATTTTTTCCTCTCTTCTAATGCCTACCCATCAAATTTGTATTTTCTTAGTGCTGCACAAGTGTGGTTGACTATTTCCAAATGAGGACTTAAGTCAGTATAAGGACTACCTCTTCCGTTCGGGGTGATTTCAATCATTTCTCATTTTTTAAATCATTTACTAATTGGCTTGCGTTAAAAATTAAAATTTTCTCAAATGAGTGTAATTGATATGTGCCGGCCTTCTTTTTGAGGTATGAACTTAACTCGTTTCTGATGTTTAATGTTTGTCATCATTTTCAAAATTTAGTTGATTGTTAAATTATTTCTTGGGATACACAAAGCAAGTTTCCTTCTTTACATTAAAAGCAAGCAATTTTACTAAAGTTGTAAATTAGCAATATACAAATTGTAATTTTTATTGAGTTTTAATTTTGCATCTCATCTTAGTTTATTAGAAACACTAAAATCTTAACAATCTTACGATGCGAGCTCTCATACTATGTCTATTGGCAGCCTACTTTCATCAGCTAGCAAATCTAAAGTAGGTAGTCCCCTGCCATTGACTTTCAATGATTGGACTAGCGAACCATCACATTTAAAACTCACTTGATAGCTTACAATTTTAATCAAGATAAAATTGAATTGGTTTCTCTTGAATTGAAACACAGACCTGATCGGAACTCGAACCGAAAAATCTGGATTCGGGTCGACCCATCTAACAAATGAGCCGGGTTTGGGTTCCAATTTTTGACCCATTTGAAATATCGAGTCAAGTCCTGGTCAACCCACTAACCTGAATTTGATCGAGTCCCCATTCAGACCTCGCCAATCACCCCACGCAATTGCGCATTCCCCCTCGGGCGTGCCAGCAGTCGCTTTGATGAGGACATCGTCAGAGATTGCGACACATGTACCATCAGGAGATGCCAGAGATCGATGACTACGATCATGATCTTTATTCCCCAAGTAGTTCTTGTTCATCGCATGTGGTTTCACATCACGCTTATTTGCGTGCAACAGAGAGTCGGAGTCCAGAGATATGTGGGCAGCCTTGCAGAGAACCGGAGATCTGAGCACAACACTCATGCTGTCACACATATAGCCCTCACCCAAACAAGAAGTCGAGCATTCACGCACTCCCGCTCCCGCCCTCCCTCGTAGTCTTGATTGCGCAGGTGTAGTCTTGCACGTGGCCCTTGCCCTCCCTCGCGCATTCGCGCACTCCCGTGCCCAAAGTCCTATTCGCATGCTGCATTGTGTGCTCTCTCTTACAATTTTTGTGTCAAGTCGGGTCAAACCGATAACACGATGGGTCGGGTCCGGGTGTTAGTTTCTGACCTGCTTATAAAATTGGGTTGCATTCGAGTCAGTTGAATTAGACCCAGGTCAAATCCGAGTTTGACCCGATCCTGACCCGAATACTCATTTTAACACCTCTACTAAAAACTTGCCTAAAAACAAATCCACCTGATTGTGGATGAAAGGTGAATCATAACCAATTCAAACATACAATCTTACAAGCAATTCAAACCCCAAAAGGGATTTAAATCGAGTTTGAACAAGATTTCTTTTCTCATTTCATTTACGATTCCCTTAGAGAAGAGTAGTAAGCTAATTCAAAATCAGTTAATTCAAATCAAGATAGATCAAATAAAAAGCTTGTTATAATAAAAAGCTTGTTCAGCTTTAAGTATGGGTGATTTAGATGATCCAAAAGATCTAGTAGATGCTAGCATGCACTAAATCAGGAAAGCTCTTTATCCTATCAAATAGTAAAAGATAACAATCATAAAGTTTTCTACTAATAATAAAGTTTTCTACTAATAATATTGTATTGAAATGTACTACCAATGAGCATGCCCAAACAATCTGCTATGAAACATTTCTCTAATACTATCACTAATTATGCATAGAATACATAAATTATTTTTGAGAACTAATGCTTTCATTAAAGATTTCATTAAACCACGATGAGTCTAAAATAAATCGGTAACCTACACTTGCAATTAATGCTTCTCTGAAATTCCATTCCAACAAGCCCGCTACACTGTTTTTGCAGTTATGATGAAGGCATTATAGATATCTAGCAGTTCTTGCTTAAATGTATCACTCCACTAACATCTACTACTCTGTCTAACACATCCATCCAACATTGTTGTCCTTACTCTCAAACTCTTTTGATGAGTGTCCACACCACTTCAATCTCCTAAACTGCTATAAAAGTGATAATCCAGCCACGCAAGTAGATTTTCATCCAAAAGATGCATGAACAGTTGGCTTTCATATCATGTCAAAGAAACTATTTGGCATGTCTTTTTCATTAAAATGCTAGTTGAACACTCCTCCGAAATGGGGCACATATATGTTGGATGCAACCTTTGACACTCTTAACTAGCAACACACCAAATCGATGCAATAAAGGATTCTCTTACTCTAGCTTTTTCATTCTCTTAATAATATAATAACGGCTTGATTTATTCCTAGTCTGTACTTGACAATAGCATCTTGAAGATGGACCTTCTGCATCAGATTAAATTCAAAAATAGTATCCTGTCTGTCTTTAATTTCAGATGACATGCATTAAAGTGAAGTTTTCTACGCTGTTAACCTTTTTATTTTTTATTTTTTATTTCTAAATCTACAATCTAGACACTTTCTATGTTGTTAACTTGTGTTTCTTTCATCATGTCAATTAGGGCCGTCAAAATCGGGTCACGGGTCGGGTTCGGGTCAAATCCGAAACTGACCCGACAATGTTCAACCCGACCCGTTTTTGCAAACGGATCGGTTTTCTGAACCCGAACCCGATCCGCTTCTGGTCCGGGTCAACCCAAACCCGACCCACTTCGGGTATATTTTACTAATTTTTTTATTTAATTCGATTTATTTCAATTAAACCTAAATTAAATTAGGACAAGATTTACTTTAATCAATTTAAAATAAATCAACCTTAATTTAATTTGGGCAACAATGTTTATTATTTTTTAGAAATATCATTTACTTATCTCATAACAATCTTTTAAAACCCTCCTAAATTAATTAAAAACGGGTCAAACCGGTTTGATTTCGGGTTTCCGAGTCAACCCAAACCCGACCAGGTTCGCGTTGATCCGAACCCGAAATTTTTGGGTCGTGTCAAATATTGACACCCCTAATGACAATATAACTTGATACACAGTTTTACCATAATTAACAGTCAAAAAACTCACGAGACATGTAAGATAAAACAGCAAACTAAGAAAAATAAACAGAATCACAGGGGAAAAAAAAAGTTTATCCATAATAAATATCTTTATGACTTCATATATAGGTAGAAGAAAAATATTTCTCCATCCAAAATGACTTTTTCTTCATGACTATCCTTCTCATACCCAAGTATTAGCCACTTCTACTAAATCTTTAAGCAATAAATAGTTATAATTCATAATATAAAGATAAAATTATGTTCAAATATAATTTTACAACATTGAAAGCCAATCAAGTTGTTTGGTAAATGGAAGTTATTATTTAACATTATATTCATATATCCTCAACAATAACAACCATTGGACCGAGAGGTCTAAGCAAAAACAATTCCAAATCAATTGTGAGATCATTTGTATCAATGAAATTAGTAACAAATTCAGTTTATGGTGTTTGGATTACTTGTGGAACAAAAATCGTTAAAGTTGTTTCCCCATGCTAATGACGCTTTCAAAGGCTATTGCCTTTCAGAGAAGCTAACAGAGGCTCTCAAATGCCTATAGTTTTTCAGGGACATGGATTTTGTTTTCTAAAGGCGAAGATTCTAAATTGAGTTAACCCTTGGTCATGAATTGTAATCTAGTTGTTCAAATTAATACATTCTTATGGCCTAACATCAATGAAGACTTAAAAAAATAGTATTTCTATTTAAAGAATCATCATTAGCCTTATCCCAACAATTTGTAGAATGTTTTTTTAATCCTATTTTCCATTAGTTAATACTAACTACTGTGTGAGGTGTTAAACCTATTTTAAGGAAAACTTTTTGCTTTTATCCATGCCTCCATACCCTTTTTTTTCTTCCTAACTCTATGATATTAATGCATCTACATTTTTTTATTAGCATATTTTTATCATCATAGACATTCCCAAACCACCTAACTACATTTTTAACCACCTAATCTTCAATTAATGCTATTCCCACCATTTATCTAACAAATATTTCTAAATCTATCCTAACATTCTCCTTTGCATACGCTCATCATTGTTGAATGCTCAAACATAAAATAATGTAATTAACTATAACGATATTAATTTTGCCTTTTAAGATTCCATGATATTCTCTCACTTAATATAGAATTCATGAGGTATTTCTCTAAAATGCCCTTTGAAAAATAAATGAATCTATATCTATATAAGGTTGACTGTGTATGGTACAAAAGACCATATCAAAAAGGTAAGGGGATTCCTATCAACAATAAGCAACTGGAAATTAAATTTAAATGATATGACCATGTACAATGAAAATTTAGAGAGCAAAAGAAGCTTTGGCAAATATACAGAATCATGTGAAATAAGCAAATTAATTAATTGAAACAAAATCAGCGTGCCCAAAAATATTTAGATGATCATTGTAAACAACAAATGCAGCTCCATGCATGGATGCCAATGAAAATGAAGGGTTCATAAAGTCATACGTGAAGAGTTGGAATTATGATAGTTGTGTGCCAGAAGATAATGGTAACTTAATTTGTAGCAGGGTAAATGAAAGCTCTCATCATTATATGGTTAAATATAACATCTTACTGCAAAAAAAAAAGAGAATATAGCATATCAATTGCCCTCGAACCTTAACTAGCACATAAGATTCATCATCGGTCGGTTGATCATATTATTGCATGCATGCTTTAAAAATGAGCTAAGCTGTCCCTAAGATATTAAGTTAGAATATTTACAAAAACAAGCAAGTGGTTCGATGTGATACCTTGGGTAAGAAAAGTAACAATTCAAAGATTTCAGAATGTGCAAAACTAGAACCGGCATGAAAAACAAATCTGCCCAAATCTACCTAAATGAACAGACATTGTCGAACATATCGAAACCGCAACAAGAAGCGATGTTTGCAAATTGACATGTGAACAAAACAGTATAACATCAATTTCCCATCATATTTAGTTGATTAACTAGGCAATACGCAAATTTCTCACTAAGATGAGAGCTATATGTGGAGTATCAAGGATCCCGTAGCTGCTGTAATAAAAAGATATAATTAGGACGCCTATGAGATAAGAAACTGATACAGGAAGATCTTAATTTGTTATGGCATGTATCTCCTGCTTTGAAGAGGTAAGAAAGATTCATGTTATGTTTGAATGTACATATATGTTTGTATACTTACTTCATGAACATGCTTCTCAAGAGATTTAAGCTTCAAATTTGCTTCACTCTGTTCACGAACCATGTCAGCACGAAATTCACCGATTGATCGTTCGAGCTTAAAGCAATATAACTCCAACTGAGTTAGTCTTCCACTGATTCCTTCTAGATTCCTGGTAAGGTTATCAGTATGTATTTTCATGCACTTCTCAATAGCAGATATCACATCTTCTCTAGCATATTCCTCTGGTTGGCCAAAACGATTAGTCAAAGGCCTCCCCACTCTACTCTCATGAAGGTCCTGCTTGGCAATATAAAATATACAAATAAAAAAATGATATGTGTGGCAAGGATATCAGGGTAGTTCTTTGATGAAATTATGAGCAATGAAAAAGAAAAAAAGCCTATCATACTCATGAGATCAAATTTGAAGAATATCTACACTCATAAAAACTTTAATAAAGACGGTCTTTTTTTTGGCTTTTAAGCCAATTAAGTCAAACTCACACGCACATCACATACTTGATTAATAGCCAATGCTCTCAACCAACCATTAAAAGGTGAGCTGCATAAGTCTCTTCATGTGAAAAAGCCTTAGTTTCAGCCTTGCTAGTTCTAATTTTAAGGATGCGTGGCATTTAACTGCTCTACCAAACAATCATAAAGCAGATGTAGGTGTCGAGTGATTAACCACAAAAAAACTTCAAGAGTATTTAATGAACAGCCAGAGAAATATATAAATAAATATTAATTACACTTACAAACAAATTGAGAGTTAACCAAACGCTAAAATGCCAAAACTTATTACGAAGATTTAATTATTATTAACTAAAAATAGTCTATTGTCTTAATCATGTTGTAAGTATAGCTGAACCAAAAACCGTTGCCTTTGGTAGGGTTTCTATGGTCTTCTACGACTAAATAAAAATAAAAGCATCAGCTTAAACAAAAAAGATAGCAGCTTCTCAAAATAATGATCCTTTTAGATCCTAATAACTAAATACAGCGAAATTTAACCAACTATCACTCCGCCTCCATTGATTCTCGATACCCTAGTTAGCCCCGACCGACCACCACAAACCTCCAAGCCCCTAACCATAACACCATAAACTCCAGAATACCTCTCCACATCATAACCTATCATTTGACAAGCCATTCCACCCATGAAAACATCCTTTTGTCTTTCCCACAAAACCCTGAACCCGATCTAGGCACTCTCGGTTTTTTCACCTTTCTAAGGGTTTTCCCAACTAACCACCACCACGAATTCAGTCCTACGAACATCCCAAGCATTCTATCCACTTTAAGACACCTCTCACCTTCCACCCCCCAAAGTTAAATAATTCAAAGTATTTACGTAAATCCCTTCCCCGATCAGGTAAAAGAAATTACTTTGATGAAATTTCATCACCTTCGCAGGAGACTCCGACCGCTTCCCGTTGACCGCCGCATCCATCTGCGGCGTGTAGTCGTCGTAAGAACACAGCACGTCGTCAGAGCCAAAATCAAATGATCTCGCCGAAGCCGATCGCGTCGCAGACCCACCGGAAGCCATCGAGATGCCGAGATGTGGAAGCCGATGGACAAATGGGGAACTAAGGGCTTTAAAATCAGAGGTTCTGAGCAGCGCAGACGCTGGGGTAGGATAGACACTATCGTATTCTCCGGAGAAGATATAAAGTAATCAGGTAGTATACCCATAGCCTTTACTCAAATAAGCCGACCTCCTCTCAACCGTCCGATTGCTTTAAACGGCGTGCTATAAAGGCGTCGGGGTAATATAGTTGACCCTTTGGCTGTGTTTTTGTTATCTGGAGCCACTGATTTTAAACGTATTGGTGGAGAGAGAAAGCTAAGGACGTGTACGGCAAGTACGTCATTCAGTTCATTTTATGATGGTAAGGAGGTACAGTTGAAACGAAAAACGTGTTTTTTTTTGGCTGGTGGCTGGTCGGCGTCGATAGTGGACCAAAAACTGTTTACGCGTGTGGCACGTGTGATATTGGAAAGCTAGGGCCATAGCGGCTTTAGAGGAATTTGTAAAAATTGTCAAACTTATTATTTATGAAAAGATGATAATAATTAATAATAACAACTTACTGAATTAAAAATATTTTTTTTCCAGAAAATAATGAAAAATAATAATAATTCATTATGAATTTTATTCTTCAACTTTATGTTGCTTATTATCATTTAGCACGTATAATCTTTTATATATACTAATATAATTAAACATTTACCAAGTGCATTATTTAAGCAAAATTATAAAATTTTTGCAAGCTGGTATATGTGCGGTGGTTGAGTAAGTGAATTTTTCATTCTAACGAGGCACGAATACCTAGCACACAAACATATAGTTGGAGAGAGCAAAAAAATCATTAGAAATTTTTTACGTGGAAATTCCAAAAAAGAAAAAAATTATAAAGCCTCGCCAAGGTGAAAATATTGCATTATATTTGAGTGAGTTAGAGAGGTTGACTCGCCCCTTAACTTAGATGTGATTAAATTACAATTATGGGTACTCAGGAGTTTGTAATGACCTTGGTTGAATGACGGAGGCCAAAAATCTTGTGATAGCGGCTGGGAGAAGGTCTAGTTGAGGATGACGCTTGGGCGGAGGTTTGGCAGTTGTTAGTGGTCAGGTGGAGGTCCAAAGGTGGCATGACGATGGTCAGGCGAAAGCCAGATGGAGATCGGCGGAAGGGTAGTGGTTCAGCTGCAATCGACGGATGGACAGTGGTCCCGCGGCAATCGGCGGCCCGGTGTGGTCCCGCGGCAATCGGCAGCCTGGGGGGGTGACCTGGCAATGACCTGTCTATTCATAAATTTTCGTGGTTGACACATCCTATAAATATAGAAAATATTCATGGCAAGTTTGGAGTGCTCAATCAGACAGTCCAAACTAAATCCCTTGATCATGGAGAGTTTTTCAATCATTTATGTGCTTTCATGATGTTAGAATTAAGAGATCTTAAATTCGTTGGATTTGTCTCCTCGAGCCACCCGATTCGATTGTAAGCATGCCATATTTAGATATCACTTGGTCATCCCATCAATGCTTTAAACATTTTAAATATGTTTCGGCTCTTTGATTTTGGCTTATTTGGGCTTGGATTAGGCTGATTTTGATGTCATTTGATTCATCTTATTAAGACGTTCAATTTGATTATAAGTTTGCTAAAATTGGATTTTGGATGGTCTGAAATTTAATTTCAAAAGTTTTAACTCGGATATGACTCGAGATTCAAGCTAGATCAAGGCAATTTAAGGAGACATATCGTTGCCCCCTATTTTCGGACATCGAAACTCACAGAGTTTGAAAATATACGTCTAAGCCTTCAAACTGGTTGAGAAAAAAATATATTTTAGATAAATTATGAGGCAAGACTACTCCATGGACATCAATTTGGACCTCCCCTTAAGGCTGTGAACCAAGTAAAATATCCCTAATTAAATTTTAGTATTCCATAACTTTGGTATGACGACTGTAGCAAAAAAATGTCAAATTATTTTTTTTCTTCTAAATCCACTAAAATTGCATGAAAGTGACTATAGAGTTTTTTTTTTTTTTTTTTTTTGCTATGAAAGTGCCAAAAATTAGTCTGGAATGTCGAAAAATAGTCCGATGACCCTTAAAATGTGTGCATCTAACTGTCCAGGCCAAAAATTGGGCCCGATCACACATTGGTGGCCGCCCGGCTGGCCCCCGCTTATTGCTCTCAGCAAGCATCAACATGCATATAGGGCATATCCAATTACCCTCAATTAATTTTTGGATTTTTTTTTACACACCGCCTCTCATCAGAGGTAGCTATATTGCCGCCTCAATTAAGGCGACAACATTAATAATTTTTTAAAAGGGCATATACCTTTTTTAGCAAAAAAGAATCTTAAAAATTCATGAAATTTTTTTTTTCTTCAAGCCCTTGAATATTTTATAAATTCTCCCCTTAGGGTTAGAGAGAGGGCACACATGGTGGAGGTTTTTTGCACTGATCAAGTCTCGATACTCTTATGTAGGCTCCTATTTCCCTTGTTGGGGGAGAAACTATTTGGCAATAGTTTAAATACCCGTGGTAGTGGCAATCAAGATCCGATACTCCTATGCATGCTCTAGTTCTCTCCCAGTAGGGAAAAACAAGCCTCATATAAAAGTATGTGTTTGTAGTATTTGTTTATGTGTTTATTAATATATTAGCAAATTTCCTTTATGCTTAAATTATTATTATCCTTTAATTATTTTTATAATTTGATTATTTAATTAACCCATATAAAAATAATAATTAAAAATTAGGATAATAATAAAACCTTAGATCCTAGTTTGAATGAACTCTATTTATACTTCATAGGTTGAAAAAACTAAAATTTAACTGATTCAACTATTTGATAAGTGTAAATAATATTATGTTTTATGTATTAATTTATAAGTGAAAACATATGTTTTAGTTGTGTTTTTACAAAAAAATAAAGGAAATGGGCAAAAGTTCAGGTTTGGTACATCGCCGTAGCATTAGATAATCTATCGCAATGATGTCATCATTGACACCGTTGGAATGCCCAGATATGGACATGGTGGTGCCCAGTCTCTGTTTGATAGCACCATAGCATCGGAGGAGTCACCGTCACAAAGCATAGTCTATATCTATATAGCGCCGCAATGCCAAATTTCAACGTCGCCAAGCCAAGGGGAGTGTCACATGGAGTCGTGGACGTCACAATGCTCAACTGTCAACAGCACCGTGACGCCACAGGTAAAACTATTTAGGCCATGACCTACCAGCGAAGAGACACGTCAATTCATTAAATAATGACTCATTGTTAGTAAGCGCCAATATTAGTAAGTGCCACAACGTAGGAAACCATTTAGAGATGTGGTGTTAGTTCATTTTATGGGTGTTGTAGTGTAAGTGACTCAAAAGCCGCAGTGCCGGAATCTATTTTCTATAATTTTTCTATAAATTATTTATTTATAATGTTAGTTGAAGAGTTCAATCACTTATTTAATTTCAATCTTTATAGCGCTTATTTAATTTTTTCTTAAGAACTGTGTGGGTCTCCAAAAGGATTCTACTAGTATAGTTTAGAATGCAAAGGTTATGATTGCACTATCCCATAGGATAAAATGGTTATTAGAACGAAATATACAAAGTTATTTCAAATAGTTTCGGTCTGTGAGAAGCTCTAGGCATACGTGTAATTATGTAATTGGCCACCTTGCTCTGTCCGTACATCCCTAATCTATATAAAGAAAACAATAGCTGATGTACCAGATATCTAAAAATAATATATTTCTATTTTACTTTCTCTATGTTTCTCTTTGATTTCTTGAACCATTGGTTTCTTCATGGTATCAAGAGTAAGATAGTATCATGTTCATGGCCCATTCCGCTTCATCTCAGACGGAAGATCGCTCTTCGTCGACAATGGCAGAAGCAATGGATCCGATCATCCTGTCCAATCTCAAGTTTCTGGTCTCAAACATAAAGAATGTTGTCACGATCCCCCTCGCCGCCGACAACTACTCTCTTTGGCGATCACAAGTTCTCAAGATCGTCTGCGTTAATGGCTTCCAAAGCTTTCTTTATTCAACTATGCATCCTCCACCGGAGACAGTCACCAATGCAGATGGGTCGTCTTCTCCAAACCCTCTGTTCTCCAAATGGACTCTTACGGACCAGAACATTTCGGCATCCATTTGCTCGAAAATTTCTCCACAGGTTCTTCCCTAATTCATCTACCTGGACACTACCGCGACGATTTGGCTGTCGCTACAAAATCGGTTTCAATCTACCAACCGATCCAAAGTCATTCAACTCAAGAACGAGCTACACAATATCTCCTTCAAGAACTCCACCATGACCCAATATCTCATCGAGATCAAGGCGCTGGTGGATCAAATCGCGGCTGCCGGAGCAACCGTTGACACGGAGGACATCATTCTGTACATTCTCAATGGTCTACCCTCACATTATCAATCTTTCAAGACGGCGATTAGAACGATGCTTACACCAATCACGCTCGGCCAACTCTACCCGCTTCTTCTCAGCAAAGAAGTAAATCTGGCATCCGATGCCGCCAAATAGGCTAGTCGGACCGATCACAACATGGCCCTCTTCAACTATCGTGGTCGCGGGGTCGAAATTCCTCTAGCACGTCTAATACATCACGACAACCAACATTTGCAAATCTTATCTACTAGATCTACTTCAAGAAGGGACATTCGACACAATCTTGCTGGCACCGCCTAAACATCCAGTATACTCCTCCATCAAGAAACTCTAATACAGCTCTTCTTGCTGGTACTGAAATTACCGAACCTAATTGGTTCTTGGACTCGGGTGCGTCTTCTCACCTTACAAACTTGCTCGAGAACATGACATTGTCCACACCCTATAAAGGAGCGGATACCGTGACAATAGGTGATGGAAGCTAGGTTAACATCTCTCACACAGGGTCGGGCATTCTCCCAACCCCGTCTCGTAAGCTAAATTTATCTCAAATACTACACTCACCATCCATTCAATACAATTTACTTTCCATATCTCAATTAACTAAAGATAATGACATATCAATTATCTTTGATCCTAACGGCTTCATTTTGAAGGACGTGAAGACACACAAAGTCATTCTTAGCGGACCATGTAATGGGGGTCTGTACAA